GGGAGGGAGGGATGGGTAGATGGATGGGTGGGTGGGTAGGTGAGTGGATGCATGGATGGATGGGTGGATGGATGAATGGGTGGGTGGGTGGATGGATGGGTGGGTGGGTGGATGGGTGGGTGGATGGACGGATGGATGGATGGATGGATTGGTGGCTCTGTCTCCAGATCTCTGAAGTAAGAGACATGGCATCAGAGTCCCCTTCTGGCTCTGCCTTTTGATGGCTTCCCCCCTAGTTACAGGCAGACCAGAGTGGCTTTCACTGCCCACACCCTTACCAGGTCCCCCCACAGCCTGGGACAGAGCCTGCTGACAGCAGAGAAAGCACAGCCCCTCCCCAGAGCCAGACCCTGGGTAGGGGTGTGGCCCAGCCTGGCAGGGATGTGGTGAGGCTTGGGGTGCCTCCTTGGGAGGGATGCCTCCATGTTTGTGGGAGGAGTTGAAGGAGGGTCCTGGGGAGAGATGGGGGTCTCCCTGGGAAGTAGAAATCATGTGAGGGAAGGTCAGAAGAAGAGAGTCGGGTGCCAGAGCAGGGAGCTGGGCACACGGGAGAAGTAGGGGCTTTGAGGTCGATAAAGGGGCCTGAGAGAGAACTGGGGTCTTCTCAGGAAAATGAGGACGAGAGACGTTGGGAGACCGAGAAGTCAGGCCATCTTTCAGAACAAGTTAGGAGCTATTTGGAGAAGAAAACAAAGAGCTTTTTGCCAGATATCTGGGGTATCTTGAAGGACAGAAGAAGTTTCTGGCATTTGGGAGATAGAGTGTTTCCAAAGAGAAGCTGGGGGTATGTTTAACAGAGGAGCTGGAGTGTGCTTTGTCTCAGGATAAGATTGAGGTTCTGGGAAATGTCAGGGGATTCGCCACCCGCCCCCCCCCCCACAAACAGGGGCACAGCCAGGGCCTGTCTCCCTCTTCCTCCAGCCCCGGGGAGGCCAAATCCGGTGCTGCCTTGGCTTCCTCCCACCAGGAGACTGAACCCAGACCCCCACCCCGAGAGGGCCTTGTAAGGCGCAGGACGGCTCACGCGCCCCATGGTCATTCCCAGGTTTAATTACAAACAGAGTCCAAGTGTCCAGTGCAGGTTGACAGCTGGGAGGGCGGGGGCCTCACAACCACCCCCACCCGTGTCAGTTGTCTTGGGGTTGCCTGGATACCCCCATCATCCCAAGGCTGCCCCCCACTTCCACATCAGCATTTGCCCTGGCCTGAGGGCCCAAAGCACCTCGATTCTCCCCCCAAAAGACAACTGTGCACTAATTTTTCAGGTGGAAAATCTGAGCCCGGCCAGGACAGGAATCCATCTCCATGCCAGGGAACTGGGGACCTGCTGGTTCCAGGGAGGTGAGCTGACGTCCAGCCGGGAAAGGAAACGGTGCCTCCTTGCCCCATCGGGAGCCTGGGCCAGGGCTCCGAGATAGATGGCTGCTTTTTGATATACTTTCTTTAAAGGCGAGAAAAGGCTCTGTCTTTGGTATGTGTGCTCTCACTCCAGGTGAAGGCTGGCGGCAGGCAGAGGGCTCGGTGGGAGAAAGGGGTCGTGGACTCTGTCTCCTGGCGGGCTTGACCCAGCCCAGCCCAGGGCCAGCTGGAGAAGGAAGATTCCAGAGACCCACGCGGAGGAAGGAGAGTCAGCGGCGATTCCGGCCCGACCAGGGTCCAGAGAAAGGCTGAGGGCCCCTAAGGCCACTACGGGGCCATCCGGGGGGAGCGGGGACAGGAGCCACAGGCTGACAGCCGCAACCTGGGGGAGAAAGAAGGAGAGGTCAAGGCTCAGCAGAGACAGCAACCGGAGACCCGGCTTCAGGTGTCAGAGACCTCAGTCACAAGGCAGCAAAGTGTGCCAGTGTCAAGCCTCAGGCTGAGGGCCAGGGTTGGAGTCCCAGCTCCTCCGTGGTCTTGCTGTGTGACCTAGGGTAGTCCCTTAACCTCTCTGGGCTGCTGAGAACGCTATTAACATTGCCTTTGTCAGCGGTGCCTGGGAGTCAGTGAAGATGTGGAGAAGGGATGAGCTCAGGGCCTGGGCGCAACAGCTGCTGTGTTAGCACCTATGATTACTGCCATCGGTGTTGCTTCTCGGGTCACAAACAACTTAGAGTAGAAGGGAAGCAGGGCAGACCCCGGCACGTGCACACACACGGCCCCACGGTGCCGCAGGTCGTTTCAGGTGTTCCACAGGCCACCCCCATCCCTGGAGCCCTGCCCCAGATTGGGAATCCTGTCTCTGCCTGCGGTGGTGGCTGAGGCCTGGCTGGGGGCAGGGAGCAGGCCAGCGCTGAGTGGGGAAGGAGGCAGAAAGAGACTGTTGTCATGGGGACCGGAGAGCAGCCCAACCTGGCCCAGAAGCACCTCTCAGCCTTTGGGGAAATTCCACCAACCCCTTCCCTCTGCGAGCTGAGCCCCCCACTCCCAGCTTCCCTGTATCCCCGGGTCCTGCCTCTGTCTGCTCCCCAAAGACTGTGGCTGCCACCCAGACCCCTCTGCGCCCCAGCTCGGCCGCATCCTCCCCTGCCTAGCCAGGCCCCCACCTCACACCAGCCCCCCCACCCACCAACCAGAGAGGCCCTGGAATCACCAAGACCTGCCTGTCCCTCACCCACTCAAGACTTCCCGAGGTTCCAGAAGTGACAGGCACAGGTGGACCTTCTCACCCACCCACCTCGCCTCACACTCCAGCCCCACCAGACCCACCTCCTCTGGGGGCTTTTTACCCCCAGTTAAACACAGAGTTACCCTAAACAACTCAGAGGGTGACTGCTGATGGGGACAGGTTTCCTTTGGGGGTGATGGAATGTTCTGGAATTAGATGGGGGGAGGTGGCACAGCTGTGTGGAGACACTGAAAGCCACTGAGTTGTGGGTGAATTATGTGGCGTGTGCATCTTAGTGTTTAAGATGAGAAAAATCTGGCAAATGGGGGCTGGGAGCCCACGGGGCCGGACGCACCTGGCTCAGGGTTCCCGCCTGACGACACCACGCAGGTGCAGCTCGCTCTCGGCGGCCACGATGGGCTGCCCGTTCTGCAGGTGGTAGTCGATCAGGTGGCTGATGCTCTCGAAGAGCACGTCCTTCGTCCGCACCTGTGGGGCCAGAGGCCTCAGCGTCACCACCACCAGGAGCTTGTCGGAGAGGCAAACTCTCGGGCCAGCCCCAGACCTGCTGACGGGGAGCTGCGTCTTCACGAGCCCTCCGACAGCTCGCGCTCAAGGCTGAGAACCACTGGGTCAGAGACTTCAACCACAGAATCAGCCTCAGAATTCCAGAACTACGTGTGGACACAGGCTCCAAAAGCACCAGCACTCTGGGGCCACGCTTCCTGTAGCGGGTTGAATGGTGCCCCCCCCCAAAATATATGTCTACATCTTAACCCCTGAAACCTGTGAATGGGCTCTTGTTTGGGAAAGGCCTCTTTGCAGATGTGATTAACATGAGTTCACCTTGATGGATAAGGAAGATGTGGTCCACAGGTACAACGGAATGCTACTCGGCCATAAAATAGAATGAAATAACGCCATTTGCGGCAACGTGAATGGACCTAGAGATGATCACACTACGTGGAGTAACTCAGAAAGAGAAAGACAAATATCATATGATAGCACTTCTGTGTGGAATCTAAAATATGATGCAAATGAACTTATTTACACAACAGAAACAGACTCATAGACATAGAGAACAGGTTTGTGGTTGCCAAGGGGGAGCGGGGTGGGGGAAGGATGGATTGGGAGTTTGGGATTAGCAGATGCAAGCTAGTATACATAGAATGGATAACAAGATCCCACCGTATAGCACAGGGAACTATATTCAATATTCTGGGAAAACCATAATGGAAAAGAATATAGGAAAGAATGTATATACATATGTATAACTGAGTCACTTTGCTGTATAGCAGAAATTAATACAGCATTGTAAATCAACTATACCTCAATTAAAAACTTAATTTTAAAAAAGAGTAAAAAAGGATGAGTTCATCTTGGATTACTCAGGTGGCCACAAATCCAGTGACCGGCGTCCTTATAAGAAGAGAAAAAGCTTCGACACAGAGACACAGGGAGGGGCCACGAGAAGACAGAGGCGGTGACTGGGGTGATGTGTCCACAAGCCAGAGAACAAGAATTTCCAGCAACCATGAGATGCTGAGGGGGAGGCCTGAACCCAATCCTCCCTCAGAGCCTCAGAAGGAACCAGCCCGGCCAACGCCTTGGTGTCAGACGTCTGGCATCCAGAGCTGGGAGAGAATAAATCTCTGTGGTTTTAAGCTGCCCAGTTGGTGATCATTTGGGAGGGCAGTACTAGGAAATGAATACACGCCAGGAATCTTGTAGACATGGATCTGAAAATCAGAACCACCAAATCTAAAAGCCACCTGCATCTTAGAATGAGAAAATCTTAGCATCCTACGTATAGACCTGGACGCAACACACACCCGCCGGCCGCCAGCTGCCAGACATTCATGGGCGATGCCAGACTCGCTGGGCACAAATCACCAGGGGAGCGGGCTGGCAACGCACATGCCTGGGCCCGCGGCAAACCACCTATTTCCCAGGCACTGGGGACAGGACCTGGGAACCTGCATGTTAACCAAGTATGTAAGGAGGTTCTGAAGCTTCTATAGCGTCTCTCATCCTGGAGATCTGTTTACCTGAGAGGGAATTAGGCCTGGGGGAGGGCTGACAGCACGCCAGGCTGAGGTCACAGCTGTGAACACTGCGATCAGACACGAGTGAGGAGGTGGCTCAGGGAACTGACAGAACAGGGGCCTGGAGCCGTGGCCCCACCTGGGCCAGGCCACACAGTCGCCACCCCCGTGTGCCCCGTATAGGGCACGGAGCACACGCAGCCCCCCAGGGCGGCGCCGAGGATTCAGCTGGAGGTGGTAAAAGCACTTGCTAAACTCTGAGAAGGCCCTTAACACCCCACGCTCCTTCTCACCAGGGAAACACAGTACAAAGCCCAAGGCCCTTGGACAATGGAAAACCCTTCAAAACCCTAGCACTCCTTGTAGATTGGAAAATGCCTTGTAAACCCTAAGATGCTTTAGGAGCTATAGAATATGCCAAACCTCACTGACTCAAGGCAGCTGCAAGATGCATCACAATTTATGTACCACAAGGAGAGGAGAAAACCTCCAAGTTCAGTAATGATAAAAGTGATGCAGTTGGGCTTCCCTGGTGGCGCAGTGGTTGAGAGTCCGCCTGCCGATGCAGGGGACATGGGTTCGTGCCCCGGTCTGGGAAGATCCCACATGCCGCGGAGCGGCTAGGCCTGTGAGCCATGGCCGCTTAGCCTGCGCGTCCGGAGCCTGTGCTCCGCAACGGGAGAGGCCACAACAGTGAGAGGCCCGCATACCGCAAAAAAAAAAAAGTGATGCAGTTGATGGTTTAAAAAAAAATCAAGACTTTAGAGATGTCAAAATGAGAGGAAAGTGTGTACCAGAGGGTTGAAGCAATTCCGTAACTTGCGGGCAGGCCCTGAAACTCCTTGTAAATGGAGACGTGCTTTGTGAACCCTCAGATACGTTAGAAATTGAAACGACCAAATTTATCGCTCAAAGAGATCACTGTTTGCAAGATGCGTTAGCAATGATAGAATGTGGGGGAAAAAAGTGCATCTTGCAAATGATGGAATATGGTACTTTGTAAGTCCTAAAAGGCCTTGAGATTGGAAAAGGTTTTGTAACCCCTCTAAATGCTTTATAGACTGGGAAGTCCTTTGTAAAACCTAAAAGTCTTCTAAAACTGCAAAATACTTTGTAATTCTAAAATACCTGGTAAAGGGAAACAGAGTAAAGGGCTCTGTAATCTGAAACATACTTCATTAAACCTAAAGGGCGCTTAAAAGGCGGGCGCCCTGGGCCTTGGGCTGAGGGGAGAGGCCAGGTCCCTTCCCTGCCCAGCCCGGCTCCACACCTGCCCCAGGCCCCCCACCCCAACCCCACCCCACGCAGCTTCCGGCCCCCTCCCCACCCCTGCCCCGCCCCCACGCCCACCTTACCACGCCTTCGGGGTCCACGAGCAGCAGGTGCTTGGGCTGCCCTGCGTGCATGCCGGTGAGGACATACTGCCCCGGGTTGGTGACGCTGTCCCGCACAAGGAAGTCCCCGTCCACTCGAAGCAGTTTCTCCGCCGCCCGACGGCTCATCTGGCCGTGGTACCAGGGCTCCTGCCGCAGCTGCTCTTCCGTGGGGGCGATGGGGGCCCGGCGGGTCGGCGGGCTGGGCCACTGGTCCTCCACGGGAAGAGGGGCTGCCGCCGGACCCGCGGCCACGGAGCACTCGTGCAGCCTCAGGGCATCCTCGAAGGGTCCTGTGGGCGAAGACCGTGCGGGAGGCGGGGGGCAGCTGCCTCCAGCGGGGAGGGAGGGGCCTGGGCTGGGGGGACCTGCTCCTTCACCTTATATTGGTTCTATTAGTAACGCAATATATTCTCTTGGATTTTCTAAGCATGTGCAAAGAACGAGCATGTCTTTCTTTCCAAGGTGCACACCTACTTCTTTTTCTTGTCTTGTTACACTGGCTTCCTTCCGAGTGTTTATGCCTCTTGTTTCAGCAGCTCGTCTGACCGCACTGGCCAGGGCCTCCACTACATGCTCCACCTCGGTGGTAGGCAGCAGGCATCCCTTTCTTTTCCAAACTCTTAATGGAAAAGCTCCGGATGGTCTTCCTAAGTTTCCTAAGGCTCCCAGCAGGCACCATTGTGACACTGTGCAAGCCAGTCACCCTCTCTGAGATGTGGCCGCATAGCTCAAACACCCTGGAGTGCAGTCGCCGCCCTGACCCCTGCCCTGGCGTGTCTGTGCTCGGCCTCCACCCTCCTTCCACTTCTGGTCCCTCCGGATCACTCCTCCCTGACTCCTCCAGTGACCTAGGGGAAGCTGACCCAGCCTCCCGCTCCCAGGACATGTGACCAGTCCTGGCCAATCAGCATATTCATCTCGCACCCCTGGCCTAGTGATTGGCTGGGGGATGAGCACATGACCCAAGGAGGGCAAATCAGAGGCAACCCCAGGATTTCTAATGGGCGCCTGGCAACAAGCATCACTTTCTCCACTGGGGTTGCTGGACCATCTGGCTGGTCACCCAAGGGGACAGCCTGCCTCAGAAGGAGTTCACACCCGGAGCACCTCCTTTCCCATCTGAAATTGCTGTGGGGGCCAGCAGGGCCACAGCAGGTGCAGGTGTCATGTCACTGCTGTAATGACAAGAAATCGAGTTGTCGGTGGAGGGAAGGAGGCTTTGCAAACTGTGAAGGAAGACATTTCCAGGGCTTCTCTGGTGGCGCGGTGATTAAGAATCCGCCTACCAATGCAGGGAACACGGGTTTGAGCCCTGGTCCGGCAAGATCCCACACGCCGCGGAGCAACTAAGCTCACGCGCCACAACTACTGAGCCTGCGCTCTAGAGCCCGCAAGCCACAACTACTGAAGCCCGCGCGCCTAGAGCCCGTGCTGCACAACAAGAGAAGCCACCACAATGAGAAGCCCGCGCACCCAACGAAGAGTAGCCCCCGCTCACGGCAACTAGAGAAAGCCCGCGTGCAGCAACAAAGACACAACTCAGCCAAAAACAAATAAACAAACAAACAAATAAATAAATAATACTGATGTTGTAGGAAAGGAGGGTATTTTGGACCCAAACCTCCTCCATCAGGCTGAGCCCTCCCTCAGGCTGGGGCATCCCAGAGGGAAGAAGGAATGGCCTCCACCACCAGCTAGTCACTTTATCAAGGTGTGGATTAGGCCTACCTCCTCCGACTGGGGGTTCCCCATTAGGCTGGGATTTCCATTTTAAGGGGCTTGGGCTTCCTCCCTCAGACCATGGAGTCACATGAAGAGGGAGCTTAAACTCCCTCATCAGACTGGGGAGACCCAGAGACGGGGAGCTAGGCCTCCTGCAGACTGAGGCGTCCCACAGAGAAGAGATGCCTGAACGCCCCCCATCCCTCTCTTCCCCCATAGAGAGGGAGCTGGGTTACCCTCAAGAGACTGGAGGGTCCCACCGAGGAGGAAGTACCATAGGAAGCACACTTCTCCACCCCAACCCTATAACGTGGGGAGAAGTCCCAAGGGGAGGACGCAGGGCATCTCCCATCAGGCCACGGGCTGCTCGGGCCCGGCCTCCTCCAGCAGGCTGGCTCGCCCCCACTTACTCATGTCGAACAGGTCCTTCTTGGGGCTGTCCTCAGGCTGCAGGGTCTCCGGGCCGTCCAGACCTTGCGTGTTGACGTACAAGTGGTCCTCGTAGTCTCGCGGGCCCCGCGGGTCTGCCTGCACGTAGCCATCCCCGGGCGGGGCTGGGGTTGGGGAGCCGGAGTGAGGTGGGGTCAGCCGGGGGACCCCAAGGACAAGGGCCCTGGAGGGCAGCCCCGCCCACACCTGTCTCCCTCCAGGAGGGAAGCCCCGCCCTTTTGCACAGCAGGGTTAGGAGTGAAAAACCGCATAAAAGCGCGGGGGCTGTGCAGACGCGGAGGTCACGGGGAGCCGCGCCCCCAGCCCCCCCCCCCCCCACACCTACGCCCGTCTGCCAGGCAGGAAAGCGGCCAGGGGGCCAGAGCTTCCCAGTTTCAAGGGAAGGCAGGAACCCCAATGTTTATGTTAAAATCTCCACGTTTAAAACATAATAACAGGGCTTCCCTGGTGGCGCAGTGGTTGAGAGTCCGCCTGCCGACGCAGGGGACGCGGGCTCGTGCCCCGGTCCGGGAAGATCCCACGTGCCGCGGAGCGGCTGGGCCCGTGAGCCATGGCCGCTGAGCCTACGCGTCCGGAGCCTGTGCTCCGCAACGGGAGAGGCCGCAACAGTGAGAGGCCCGCGTACCGCAAAAAATAATAATAATAACAATAGAATTCTGCTCTCCCTGTAATTATGTTATCAACATGATACATGGTCAGGTCATTTGTTTGCTTCCGTTCTATTTTAGGCTTTCCTTTCTTTTCTTTTCTCAGTTTTGTTTTTGAATGTATAAAGCATTCACATGGTTCAAAAGCCACAACACCATGAAAAGGTATCCTCGGTGGAGCTTCTCCCCGGGTCCCTCAGCACCTCGGTCCAGATCTGCTGGATCCTCACCAGTTTGCCTCTGCCCTGTTCCCAAGGCCTCACCACCGTGTATTATCAGACTGTTGGATTTTCGCTGACGCGGTAGGTGAGAATGGCATCCTGGGGGAACTTAATTTCCATTTCTCTTATTCTGAGCAAGGTTCAGCATCTTTTCCTACGTTCAAAGGACACGTGTGCATTTCTTTTTCCCCAGAAGTGTCAATCCATTTCTAAACGTCTCCATTTTTAATCGTTGGCAGGGAAATAATGACCTTTGAATACACTGTGGCCAAATGCAGCCCAAGGGCCCGCAGCCACGATCTCTGTTTTATGCCAATTATATCCTTAACCCTCGCAGACACCTGGGCTCATACATCGGCTCCACCCTCTGTGGGCATGAGCAAGTAAGGTCACCTCTCAGTGCCTCAGTCTCCTCCTCTGCAAAATGGAGAGAATGGGAGTAGCTTCCTCACAAGTAGGGGTGAAGATGAAACCGCCCTGGGTGGTTGATGGGGGCCGAGGGGCCTCAGCCCAGGCTTCCCAGTCTTCACAGAGGAGGCACAGATTCTCCCGGCCCCTTATAATCAAGGTGAAGTGAGAAGGAAGAAACCTGGGTTGCAGGAGTCCAAAGAGAGAAAATTTCTGGGCATTGGAGCTGGGGCATTGACATATTGGTAGGAGTTCTTGGCCAGAGACTTGGGAAAGGCATGATAAGAAGTGATAATATCATGTGCAAAGGCTCAGGGGTAGGAAATGCTAGTGAGCCCTGGGAGTCAGGCCTGAGCAGCCCATGTCCCAGAGAAATAGCTGACCAGGGCCAGATGACGGCTGGGCACCTGCTGGGCACCCAATGCCATGAGTGTTCTTTAACCACAAGCTCTGGGAGCCAGTAGGGTTCTGATGCTCGGCAGTGAAATGCCCAGATTGTTTGGGAAGATCTAAAAAAAAAAGCCCAACACATGTCAGCACGGCTGTGAGGCAACAGGCAGCCACAGTAGGGCTGGTGGGAAAACACACTTCCCGGCCACATCGGGGAGCCAATTGGCAGCTTCCCTACCGTGGCTGACGTGTGCACTCCATCCACAGCTCAGCATCCGTGGGAGGGACACACGGGGGGGCCCAAGGGGTCTGCCACCCATCAAGCGGGGGCCACGTCAATAAGCAACTCCAAGGACAGGGGACTAGCACGCAGCCGTTCAGAAGAGCACACGGACGCAGCCAGAGCCCCAGAGAGACCGAAGGTGTCCGCAGCCTGCCTCGGGGTCCTGACTTCTTTGGGGGCCTGTTGGTAATAAAGGCTGAAAGGAGACACAAAAGTGCCAGGGGGGTGAGGTCACGACCTCGGAGCTGGGGCAAAGGGGATTTTAGCCTTCTCTGTCGCTGTAAGTGTTGTATAACGTTAACATTTAAATGGCTGAAAACTCTACCATTTTGTTAAAAGCTCATGATACCTGGTGGGAATGTAAATCGAAAGGGCAGCTGTGTGACTTGTATCACATGGAACAGCGGCCACTGTCCCGGGTACGGATGCTACGGAGGCCCTTGAACAGAGCTGAGTGGTGGACGCTGGTGTGGCAAATACCTGCGAAAAGTGCCCAAATGTCTGAGCGAGGACGGTCCTTCACGTGGCAGGGAGGATGCCGTGGTGAAAAAGAAGGGGGGCGACTGCCGTGCCCTGACGTGGGGAGGATTCCAAGCTGGGCTGTTACGAGGGGAAAGCAAGGTGGAGGGGTAGATAGCACGCCACCGTCTAAAAACCGGGGAAAGCCACGTATGTCTGAGTTGGCTTGAATGTGCATGCAAAATTCTGGAAAAAACATGGTAACTACTAACAGCGGTTACCTGATTAGGGAGGTGGATAAAACAAATGGGGCAGGGAGACTGACTTTTCACCGGATGCCTTTTTATACTCTGGTGCTTTGAACCACGAGATGCAGTACCTATGCCCAAAATACAAGGAAACTGGTCTGCACAGAAAAAAAAAAAAAGCAGACGCTGTCAAATCTCTAAGAGCGTGGGGAGGGAATACAATCTCGCCGGTGAAAGTGGAGTGACCCAAAGAGTGGAAGCAGTGTGAGGGGCGGTGGGGACCCAGGGGGAGGGCTGGGCCCCCCCCCCCCACAGCCCAGAGAGCAGCCTACCGTACCTGAGGGGCCCACATCCCACTGCGGGCCTCGGGCGTCTCTTCGAGCAGGAGATGCTCCCTGAAAAAGAGAGCAAGGGGTCCTCCGGCAGTGTGCAAGCCCAGATCCCAATCTCCCACGGCAACCCTCCTGATTGGCCTGTAGCACCCCCTCCTCCCAGCACAGCACCCCAGTCTCCCACACCAACCCTCCTATAAGCCAGATTTGAAGCTCGGCTCTGAACCCATGCCCCGCTCCCTGGCCTCCGTCTGCCCGCGCGCCCACCACGCACCTCTGCTGCAGCCTCATGGGCCGTCCCCACTGGGAACGCCTGCCCCGGCACATGCTGTCTCTTGCACCTTGATGCCCTTCCCTGCACTGCTCTCCTGGGCAACGCCTATTGACCCGTCAGGGCCCAGCCCAAACCCTGCCCTCAGGGACATCCTCCTGACCAGGGCTGGTCAGTCTCCCTGGGGTACGTTCTCGTTATCCTCCTTGGAAGCCCTGATTCAATCACTGCTGTACCCATTTCCTCAATGTCTGCGATGGGAATCCCGTCTGAAGTGTCAAGAATAGGGCCGAGCAGATCTGGGCAGCTTGGGGAGGGAGGAAGGAGGTGGGGGCGGCACAAGAGACCCTCCTCTAGGATCCCGGAGGACAGGAGCAGAAGGAGGGGCTGGGGGTCAGGCCCCCCTGGGACACCCTCCCCACGAGGTCCCAGAGGCTGACCTGGCCAAGGGCCCCGAGGGCACAGGGCTGCTGCGCGGGGGTGAGCCTGGAGTCCACCAGCCCGCCCAGGGGCGGCTCCTTCCCGGGAGTGCGGTTGTAGTAGCTGTGTTCTGTCTCGTCCTCGTCCCCCCAGGCCGAATCCTCCGGCCCGGTCAGCCTGCGGACACAGAGCCAGCGGGAGCACAGGTCCCAGCACGGGACGGGGAAGGGGCTGGCTCCCAACAGGGTGCCGAGGACTCCAGGCCCAGGGACCCTGACCGCCCCCCATCAGCTGAGCGGTGGCACCAGGAACTGTTGCTGATGGAGGGTCTGGGTGCCCCTTTCTGTCCGTCAAAGGGGATTCTGCACGAGCCTCAGCACTTTGGCTGGACCAAGCAGGGCCTCAGAAAAGCTGGTCTCCGCCCCCTTTGCCCACGCCAGGCTTGCACCCAGAACCCGGAAGCCACGGCTTAGGGTGGCGACACCCCTCAGCATTGAAAACGCCCTCGCCCTCTGGCCCTGGATGGCGCCTTTGAAATTTATGCCATGGAGACTCATCCAGGCAAGTGTGGTTCCTCAGAGCAAAAGACGGGAAGCCGCTGACTGCCGCTCAGTCAGGGAGGGACAGCAGGTCGCAGTGGGGGGCCCAGAGGAAGGCCCTGCAGCCCGGGGAGGAGAGGGGCTGGGGCCGCCCCAGTGTGCGTGTGCGAGGGGCGAGCAAGCCCGTGCGAGGGCCACAGGGGCGTGTCCAGCTGCGCACGCCGGCCCCTCATCGGTGAATATCGGACTTCTAACAAATTCATTTATTCACTACTTATTCTAGCCAATTCTTGTCTGTCCAGATATTTAAATAGCCGACCGCAGGCCACTGCCTGTCTCTGCCAGCCCAGGAGAGGAGGACGGTTTCTACACTTTTACGCCGCAGAACTGTTAAATGGCTAAGAAAACATCCGAAGAACACCATCTGATGACATGTGAAAGTCAGACGGAATTCAGAGTTTGGGGTGTCCATAAATAAAGTTCTGCTGGCACACAGCCCGATTGCTCACACATCCTCCTTGGCTGCCTTCCGCCACAATGGCTGAGACAGCAGGGCGTGCAGTCCGGCCCTTTGCAGAAGCGCCAGCCACCCCCGTGCAGACTAATGACGACAGTATGACGGCCACCCCCCCGCCAACCAGTTCCCTGAGCCCTCACCACAGCCGGGAGTCGGGATGTTTTTAATCCCAGCTTTACAGATGCGGAAATGGGGTCCTGGTGGTCGAGCCGTGGGCCACGAGGGGCACAGAGCAGGGAGGGGACAAGGACCCAAGCCCGGGGAGGAGGGGCAGGGCCGGCAGAGGTGCGGGGGGATGGGGCGGGCAGGCCGGTACCTTCCCGGGGGGACGACAACCCTGGGGGGGCTGTGCAGGTACTGTTTGAAGCGCAGCTCGAAGGCTTGGCCCACGGTGCTGATGACGCTCTGGGCGAGGCCCTCGCAGCACTCCAGGATGTGGCAGGCTGGGGGGCGTGGCGCAGCATCAGCGGGGCCTCGGCTGGCTGACGCGCTCCAGCCCAAGGGCCCCTCCCACCCCCACCAGGCCTCACCTCTCTGGTTGATGGGGTCCTTGGCCACGTAGGCCACATAATCCACCATGTCCTGGGGAGAGAGGGCAGCGGGCGGAGGAGTCCCAGCAACGCGGGGGGTGGGACCGATGGGCACAGGCAGGGGGTCTCGGGGCTGGGGGGACAGAGGGGCCGGGAGTCCACCCCCAGTCCCGGCCTTACCGTGTCACCACCCGACGCAAAGGAGATGGACTGCATGTGGTGGCTGGCGATGATCTGGCCGAAGAGAGACCACCAGTCACGGGGCTGCCGCTTCAGGGTCGGGGGAGGAAACAGGGGCTCGGGCCGGTCACTAGACCAAGGCCACAGGGGGGCCGGAAGGACAGGGGTGAGGGGATGAGCCATCCCCTCGACAGTACGTCAGGATGACCGAGAGCCCCAGTGGACGGGCAGCCCCGCAGCCAGGGCAGGACGCAGAGACCCACGGCCACGCAGCCGCACGGGAGGACAAACCCGCCCCGCGCTGGTGGGCATTCTCACACATGCGCACGTGGGCACCAGGCTCAGACACGTCACCACACCCTCGACACACAGACACACGGGCTAAAATCCACACGCGTCCCGGTGCGCAGTTCACACCAACACCTGCACTTCACCCAAGGGCCCTCGCCCAGCATGCCTCCAGGCTTCACCTAGGTGAGCCCACAGACCCCGCCCTGGGCGGGGCTGGCGGAGGCTGGGGGGGGAGGGGCGGGCGGCGCTCACCTGGTGCGTGGCGGGAACGGAGAGGTTGAGGCCGTCGATGGAGATGCTGACGGCGATGCTCATGCCCGCGAAGCGCAGGTTGCTCTTGCCCAGGATGGAGGCCAGTGCCTTGTTGGGGGCCTGCGGGGGGGCACAGGGCACCAGGAAGGTGGGCCCGCGGTGGGGCTCCAGCTGGGGCAGGCCCCGGGATGGCCATGAGCCCCCCACTCGCTCCCAACCGGAGGCCATGGGCCCCTCACCCACCTTCTTCTTCCAGGAGCCCCGGATGCCAGGCACGGCCTCATGGAGCCGGTTGATGGCTTCCCTGTGTGGGCGGAGGAGGGAGGGGGCTTAGAGAGCTTGGAGTGGAGGGAGCAGAGGCTCAGAGAAGGGGGGAGGGGCGGTCAGAGGGCGATGGGCTGAGGAAGGGGTGCAGTGGATCCTGAGTGGGGAGGGGCTCAGAGGAGGGAGGAATGCTGGGGCACCTGGAAGCCTGGACCAGGGGCTCCGGGCTCCCAGCCACCCACCCCGTGTGCCCCGCAGGTGCCCCTGCCCTCAGCTCTCCCCCTCCAGCTCTTTCTTTCTCAGTGACCAGCGGACCTCTGAGCCACAGCCCACTTGACAGATTTGGGGGTCAGATTTGGGGTTGCTGACACAGCCCTTCAGCCTGAACCCCCAGTTGTGTGTGGCCACAGGCTGGCCAAGATTCCCATCTGTGGCATAAGGGGATGACCTCTGCTCTGGGCCCCCAGACACAATGGCAGAACCAAGCCTCCCAAACAGAATGGGAGAGACTTCCATGAAACGGCTCATCCCTGCGGAGGGGCTGGAACTTTTACAAGGTCCTGAGGGTCAGATGGACACACAGAAGGCTCTCAACAATGTCGGTGCCGTGAGGGGAACCAAGCCCTCACCCCGCAGGTGGGAAGGCAAAATGGAGCAGTAGCTCCTCCAAATGTGAAGCAATCCCCCCCAGGTGCACACCCTGGAGAACTGAAAACACACGTCTGCACAAAGCCTGCCCGTGGGCAGCCACAGCAGCTCAACTCACAACAGCCCGAAAGGTAGAAAGCACCCGAACGGCCATCAGCTGAAGATGGATGAACACAATGTGGTCCCTCCACACACGGGACCATCACTCAACCCTGAAAAGGGGGGAATCCCTGACACTCGCTACAGCGTGGACAGACCCTGAGAACACGATGCTCAGTGAGAGAAGCCAGACACAGAAGGACACACAGGGTGTTATTCCACTGATGGGAAACGTCCAGAACAGGCAGATCCACAGACACAGAGAGTGGGTTCCTGGTTGCCAGGGGATGGGGAGGGGGTGGGGTGACTGCTAATGGGGATGGGGCTTCCTTTCAGGGTGATGGAATGTTCTGGAATTAGATCGTGGTGATGGTTGCATAACTTGGAAAACAGCAAAATACATCGAATTGTACACTTTGATTGGGTGAATTATACCTCAATAGAGTTTTTTAATGTCTCTGGTGAATGCACTAAGTCAGTTTTCAACATGCAAAACAATGTGGGCCCCTCCTTCCTCAGCCCTGGTTGTACCCTTGACTCTACATGACTCAGGTCCAGGCAGCTCGGAGCATCATGATACCACCATGCCTTCTCTGCACCAAAAAAAAGCCGGGACGGTGGACATGCCCTGGTTGCCTTGGACAGGCTCCCAGCCCCTTGCAGCCCTGCCCTGAGTCTCAACCGGGAGCCAGCAGCACCGCCCCCTGGGTGCCACGACATGCTGGGGCGTCCTCAGCACCCCTCGTGGGACCCACACACTCTCTGAGGGATGCGCTGTCGTCTCCAGGAGATCATCTGGGGTCCGGAGAGCGTGGGTGACCGGCAGGCGGGGAAAGAGCTGGGACTGTGCCCCGCCCCAGATCGCTCTGACCCTGCGGAGCACTGCTCCCCAAGCCGGGAAGGGGGAGGGAATTGTCGCCGAGTCCGCCACCCTCACCTCCCAGCACAGAGCTACACACCAGAGCCCCCGACCCCCGCAGCCGGGCCTCACCTGGTGAGCTGGGTGCGAGTGCTGAAGTCCAGGGAGCGCATGGAACGGAGGACTTCGATGCAGCCCATGTACTGAGGGGAGAGAGCACAGGGTCAGCGCCAGCCCAGCAGAGCCCAGCTGGGGCCTGACCGTGGATCCCAGGCCTTCCCTCCAGCGAGCCCTCCGCCCTCCCCTCCCGCCACCCTGGGCTCCAGCCCCCGCCTCTGTCCTTATGAGGCCCAGCCTGGTTGCCACAGGGCCTTTGCACCAGCCAGCCCCAGCCGTCCCTTCCCCCATCTATTTGCGGACTGGTTCCTTCCCCAGCTCCAGGCTCCCGGTCACCTCCTCAGAGCTGCCCTCCCTGACTGTAAGGGAGTTGTTCCCTGGAAGCGGTGGATTCCTCCAGGCTCAGTCCTGGCTGTTCATTTAACCGCCTGCTGTTCATTCTCTTTCTGCTCCACTAGAAGGTCAGCCCGGGAGGACTGGATGGTGGCGACCCCGTTCACTTCTGCGTCCCCAGGGTCCGGGACAGGGTCTGCGAGCAGGCGGGACAGAGGACGTCTGGCCCGCGAAGCCCAAAGCTTTGACTGTCTGAACTTTTCCAGGGAGAGTGTGCCCACCCCTGCTCAGATTACCATTTCCACGGAAGGTAATTCGGTAATTCAAAATCTCCAAGAGACGATGCTGAGGGACAGAGAAGGCAGGAACAGCCGGGGGAGGGGTGGGGCAGGGTGGCCAGACGACGGCCACCAGCACCCTCCAACGTGCTGTCTGCACAGCTGGGAGGGAACCTGGCACAGCCATGTGCAGCGTCTGTCATATGATCTCATTGATGGGAAACGTCCAGGACAAGAAAATCCACAGGGACAGAGAGTGGGTTCGTGGTTGTCAGGGGCTGGGGAGGGGCGTAGGGGGTGACAGCTAATGGGGACGGGGTTTTTTTTGGGTTGATGGAATGTTCTGGAACTAGATAGATTTGGTGGTTGCACAACCTTGTACTAAATACCACTGTACTGTGATTTAAAACGGTTAGTGGGGGGCTTCCCTGGTGGCGCAGTGGTTGGGAATCCATCTACCAATGCAGGGGACATGGGTTCGAGCCCTGGTCCGGGAAGATCCCACATGCCGCAGAGCAACTAAGCCCGTGCACCACAGCTACTGAGCCCACGCACCTAGGGCCCGTGCTCTGCAACAAGAGAAGCCGCCACAATGAGAAGCCTGCGCACTGCAGCGGGGAGTGACCCCAGCTCGCCGCAACTGCATAAGGCCTGTGTGCAGCAACAAAGACCCAATGCAGCCAAAAATAAATAAATTTTAAAAATAAAATTTAAAAAAAAATGGTTAATGGTAGGGGCTTCCCTGGTGGTCCAGTGGTAAAGAATCTGCCTTCCAATGCAGGGGACGCGGGTTCGATCCCTGGTCGGGGAACTAAGATCCCACATGCCACGGGGCAACTAAGCCCGCGCGCCACAGCTACTGAGCCTGCGCACCTCAACGAGAGAGCCCGCGTGCTACAAACTACAGAGCCCATGCGCCCTGAAGCCCGTGAGCCACAACTAGAGAGACAAAAAAACCCCACAGGCCACAACTAGAGAGAAGCCTGGGCGCCGCAACGAAAGATCCCGTGTGCCGCAACTAAGACCTGACACAGTCAAAAAAAAAAAAAAAAAAAAGAAAGAAAGAAAATAAATAAATAATGGTTAATGGTTAACTTAGTTATGTGAATTTTACCTCAATTTTTAAAAATATTTATTTGCTTACTTATTTGGCTGCGCCGGGTCTTAGTAGCAGCACACAGGATCTTTTAGTTGCAGCATGTGGGATCTTTTTTTCTTTAGTTGCGGCATGCGGGATCTTCATTGCGGCATGCAGGATCTTTAGTTGTGGCATGTGGGGTCTTTAGTTGCGGCATGCATGTGGAATCTAGTTCCGTGACCAGGGATGGAACCCAGGCCCCCCGCACTGGGAGCGTGGAGTCGTAGCCACTGTGCCACAGGGAAGTCCCCTCGGCTTTTAAAAAATGATACACGCACATATGCTTTGACCCTGAAACTCCATTTTGAGGACTTTATCCCAAAGACACACCAGTCTGCGGGCTCCCTATGTGTGTGCAGGTGGCTGTTGGGAGCCATACTCCACCTTCCCCCCCGGGCTCCCCCCCCCCCCCCCCCCCCACCGCAGGACCGGTGCTGGGGCAGTTGCGCGGGTATTTACTGCCACCACAGCCCGGTGCGGAGTATGCCTTCCTATGCTGGCCCCGGGGTGCCCTGCCCCCGGCCGCCTGCCCCTCCCCTCCTGCAGGACTTGCAGCACTGGAGGAATAAACAAGAAATTGCAGACACCCCAAAACTTGACACATCTAGGGTTGTGAGGTCCAACCCGGGACGCCAGTTAGGTTGGAATTTCCCATAAACGATTAATATCTTCTTAGTGTATGTCCCAAATAATGCACAAGACATGCTTATACTGACGGTTGTTCGTGTTCGTGGGAACTTTACATTTAACTGGGCAGCCTGTATCTTTGCTGAACCTAAATAAATCGCGGTGCTGGCAGTGGAAGAGTCTGCAGCTGTAAAAAGAGCAAGGTGCCGACTAGAAGGCACAGTGCCTTTTGTGTGGACAAGGGGGCCAAGGAGGACACACGTGTACACAGCATGTGCGTGTGTGCATGCACATGTGTGGGTGACAAGCTCTCGCAGGACACAGTAGGTGCTTCTACAGATGCCGTTGGCTGACTGTAAAAGTGGCCACCAGTTCCTCCCCTCCCCCATCCAGGCCCTGGGTTGGCCGTAATGCAAGCAGCACACGGACAGGCATGGTCACCCGTCACCGGTGCTTGCTCCCCTGCTGCTCTTGGGACCCTGCGACCCTGCCGGGGTACCCTGCCTGGGTACCCTGCCTGATGACGAGACACATGGCCCACCCCCATCTCCCCAGCTGACATGGAGCCAATCGTCACGTGAAGGAGGAGACCATTCAGCCCCAGCCGACCCACAGCACCACAGGAAATAAAAAGTGTTTGTTGTTTCCATGCACTAGGTTGTGCGATGGTTTGTTACACAGCAGAAGCTCCCTAGACAGTGACCAGGAGAAGAGAGGGAGTAAGGCAAGTGAAGATCCAGGCCAAAGGGAACAGCAAGTACAGGCCAGAAGCGGGAACCAGCTTGGAGAGACCAGACTCACTCCAGTGTGGCTGGAGCAATGAGAGATGAGAGGATGTGGGACCCTGGAGCTGTGATGAGGGGCTGGGTTTCATTGTGACCAACGTGGGGGGCCGTGGGACAGCTTTAAACAGGGAGGTGAACTGATGTGTCTCACCTTCATTGGATGGATGATGGACGATGGATGGATGAATGATGGATGGAGGATGGGTGATGGATGGGTGGATGGATGGACAGGTAGATGGAGGGACGGATAGACAGGTCCGCAGGGACTATGTGCCAGGCGTGCATTAGACATGTAGAACCTCGAAGAGAATTAGCTGTGGCCCCTGCCCCCAAAGTAGACTCTCACACTGAGTGGACAGCTTTGGTGGGTGCTGGCAGCTCAACACGTGCCCTCACTCTAACAGAGCATGCGTCTGCGTGGGGCGTCAGTGCTGCAGGGCCCCAGGGTGTGAGGGGTCTAAATCACCCTAACTAGTGTACAGCTCATTCTGGTTGTGTGACTGAAATCCTCCCAGTACCCCAGCCCCCCCCCCCCGGGTGAAGTGGGTGCACGACTCCACTGCACGGGAGAGGAGACGCAACACGGGTCCCCTTCCCGGAGGGTGGAGAACACACTACGAAGGCAGGGAAGGTAAGCAGGTGGCTGACGCGCGTGCCGGGCAGCGATGACACTGATAAGCCACTTGTCGCATGCCGGGCCCTGTTCCAAGTGTGCTGCGCACATGACCTGTCAACCCGCTCCACCCAAAGCCCGCAGCAACGTGACCCCTCGGGAAACAGCCCCGAGGGCTCTGTAACCTGTTGGCAGTCACAGGTCGTAGGCGGCAGAAATAGGATCTGAACCCACAGCCTGGGCTCTGGAGCGTCCCCCGGCCCTGCAGGAGGCGGTGAAGACTGCAGCAAACTACACGCTCAGGGGCCAGAGGGGCCCAGTGCTGCCAGACCACCTGAAATCCAGGGCTTTTGCCTGAAACACCCCAATTTGTAAACAACGACAAGGAATTTTTATTTTTAAATAGAAGAAAAAAAAAAAAGGCAGAGGTCAAATTCAGCCTTGGGCCTGCCGGGGAGCACGACCTCTGACCTAGGATCCCAAAGTCTCGGAAGGCCAGCCGTGGTGTGTGGGTGACAGCCCCAGGAGGCTCTGTCCACATGCCCAGCCTCACAGCCTGTGAGAGGGACCTTAGTGGAAGGGAACCTCTGCAGATACAACCAGGTTAAGGATGTCAAGGTCAGACGGTCCTGGATTTAGGATCGGCCCTAAATCCGATGCCACACGTCCTCACAGGAGAAGGGGAGAGGGGGGCTGAGGGACAGACATGCAGGGAGAAGCATGTGGAGCTGAAGGCAGGGCTACGGCCCCAGAAGCTTGGAGACAGGCTCTCCTTCAGAGCCTCAGAAGGAACCAGCCAGCCGACACCTTGATTTTGGACGTCTGGCCTCCAGAACCGGGAGAGAATACATTTCTGTAGTTTTAACTGCCCAGTTTGTGGTCATTTGTTATAGCTGCCCCTGGGAGACCGACAGAGAAGGCCGGGAAGGGATCCCAAATGGCGGATTTGCAGCCCACCTTCCCCTTTGCCAACGCAGAAACAGAGGCCACCCAGAGCCAGCCCTAGGATGTAAGGGGAAAACTGAGTCACAAGTGGGAAAACTGAGGCTCAGAGCAGGAAAGGGACCCAGCCGAGTTCACACAGCACACCAGGGCGGACACAGGACGAGCACCCAGCTCACCACACTCCCCGCAGGACACGCCACCCCTCACGGTGCCATAGGTCCTGTACCATTACTACTTAGTGTTTTCATTTTAAATAAACTCCATTTATAAACATAACTGAGTTTATTTCTGAAGGCAACTGTAGGAAGCAACCCCAAAGTCCATAAACTGGTGAATGGATAAACAAAATGTCATCCGTCCACACACT